GCTGCAGTAAATGCAGGTTTATACTAACCCTTTACTCCTGACCAAACAAACCACTTCACTCTAAGGGTGCTTTCACACCTGTAGTTCGGTTCATTTGGTCCGGACCAAGTGGAAAAAAAATGATGCACTGTTGCATTTTAGTTCCGGTCTGGTTCATGTTCTCACTGCAGCTTTACAAACGTAGTAATCATGACGTTACACAGACTTACAGGTAACTCGTTGATTGGACAGCTTTGGCGATTGTCATCCTGCGTCATCAGGACCCATTTGGGGAAATCAAACTCCGGTGACTGACAGAAGTTTGTGCAGCGCTTTAACGCTTCTGATCTGTATCACAAAGAGCTCATGAAGTAATAACTTATTAAAAGTATTAGTTATGTTAGACCACAGACTGACTTGGATTAAATCAAAGATTGTCTCTCCTTAGGAACTGGGAATATTGTTGATTCATCCTTAAATTCAAGCTGGCGATTAAGAGTATAGTAAAACCTTCCTTTGTCATCATTTCTAAAGGAATTTTATAGGAAAGTATTATGAACAAGCATTGATTACATTACATGAAGGAGTGTCTTGCTGAAAATAAAAACACTGCACAAGTAACTTTCTTTTCAGCACTAATATTAACAACAGTTAACATAACTACTCAAATAGAGGCAAACGTAATCAGGTAACTAAAGATTTAATTAACTGCTTTGAGTCTTTGGAGACTGCAGTCCTTTACATTCAAAGTTCAGTGTCTGGACCATGTCACACTTGGGTGAGACAGGGGTTTTCCTTTTTGATGTGGTAATAAACAAAGAATAAGGTCAGTTGCCACGGAAACGTGTGGGGGGGGGCTATAGGCTGTTCAGGGAGATACCAATGGCTGGCTCGTGTCCCTTTGTCAGTTTAACAGTCAGGCCCCGCGTTATCAGCTTCGGAATGAAAAAGGTGCCAGTTTTATGGTCGGGCTAGCACTTAGAGAAAGCAACTTTGACCCCTCCCCTTCTTCTCTGGGGAGGAGAAAGGAATTTAGGGTAGCTCCAAATTTCATTAAAATGCACAAATCCACACCGTTGTTCACTACATGCGATTCAACCGAACTAAATGAGGCGGGTGTGAAAGCACCCTAATATCTGAACCAAATATCTGCCCTTAGACTTACCACCGTTATTGCCTATATTTGCCTCAGATCCACGACAGTATGAACTTAGTCACAGTAGCTTGAGCTGTAGGCTTACAGAGGGAATAGAAGAGCATCACCTTTTGCCTCAGGACGAAACCAGATTCCATCATAAGACTCCTTCCTGCTCATCCCACAGGCCCTGAGGGACTCGGCTTCAGTATAACGTCACGGGACGTTCCCATCGGCGGCTCGGCACCCATCTACGTGAAGAATATTCTGCCTCGGGGAGCTGCCATCCAAGATGGCCGCCTCAAGGCAGGAGACAGGCTGCTGGAGGTGAGATAGTCGAAGTGCAGTGATACTTAACACAGCAGTTCATATGCGTGCAGGAGCTGATGGACTCATTTAATGTAACCTATGACGGTCACTGGATTATGTTATCTGGACAGTAGACCTGTACCAGGCAGTAGTCGTGGTTTGTTCCAAAATTAGTTAAATCCCAGTATAAAATGTGGATGTTGTTTGTCACAACACAAGTACTGATACTTTTAATACATCAAAAATACCTGTCGTCATTTAAAGTGTAACTAATTAATTTCAGGCAGCTACTTGGCAATTCAGCATCCTGGAGTAAAATCAAAGAACGTGTGTTTATATTGTATTGTGTGTGCAGCAAGACGGAAGCGTTTGAAGTTGCGTTATCCCACATTGCAAACCATTTGCATAAAGGATTACACTGTGCAACACTGAGTCTGTGGGGTTATTGCACAAAACATTAAAACCTTTGGTACACAGGTTTATTTTTCACGTTTTTAACTGGGATTTGTCTAATTTTGGTACACAGTAGTAGTAATTTTGGTTTATTTTTCACTTTTTTCCAAGTGACTGTTTAATGTGAGGATTTGCTGCTTTTCTTTGTTTTGCAATAAGCACAAATAAGTGTTGTGAATATTTCACCTTGGCTGAGAGATTAACCATGCAGCCTTTTTTAGAACTAAACTCAGTCACTCCTGTTCAGGTGAATGGAGTGGACCTGAATGGGCGGACCCAGGAGGAGGTGGTGTCTCTGCTCAGGGCCACGCCCATGGGCGGGGCTGTTGGGCTGCTGGTTCTACGGCAGGAGGACACTTTCCTCCCACGAGAAGTGGTACGTTTGTCATTCTTCACCTTCCTTGGAACATTCCGCCAACTGTTCAACCTGTCAGCATAACACATTTCACACGCTGACATATGTACAGTCCCCGCTTGCATGGTGTTTGTGTGTGCTGCTGTGCTGTCACAAGTACCGTTAATCCCCACAGTGAGTGCGGTGTTGTCTTCTCATTTCCCGGCTAACACAACATGCTAGCCGAGCATGCAGATTGATTGTCCCGCTCCGTCGCTGCACTCCTCTCTATTATCAAACTGTGGCTAGCCTCAGAGGAATCCTGTAGAGCTCAATCTTTTCTCTTTATCTCCTTTTCTTCTCGCTTTAACTCTCTCTGTCCTTCCTGTGTCACCCTCCCTGCCGCAACTTTCATTCTCAGTCACCACTTCCCTTTCTTCCTCTCGCTTTGTTAGGTTACATTCTCTCTCTTTCTGTATTTCCATCTCTCTTGCTCTGTTTTGCCTCCGAGCTGGCTTTCTAGATTGATGGATGTGGGAATGAACAGACAGACACAGGGCAGGTAGTAGGCAGAGAGTGGAAAACACACTTGGACTGAATATCAATCAGGCAACATCCTCGCACATTACACGACACAAACGGCAATACAAATGTTTGTGTGCTGTTTTTGGATGCTACTGCTGTCACCCAGTCTGGACAGGTGCCATTCACAGCTTGTAACTTCAATGATTCATGCGAACCATTGCTAATTTAGTTGGTACGTTTGTCGCAACTATTTGCTTTCCTCAAGGTCGCGTTTTTTACGTGCTGCCAGATGTTGCACTTAATTATCTTTGCAGAAAATTAGCTTTGATGTACTGAGCATCTGGAGTTACCTCAAAGTTGTTTGATAAAGAAGTGAGCTCATAATGACGGCGGCAGAACACTGTAGCTTAAGTGTAAGTTTAATGTGGGAAGAGTGAACAGTGGGGGCTGGTAGCAGGCTTTTAATCACATTAGTGTTTACTCCACAGCAGCGGTCAATGATTCTCTGCTATCTCTCTAGCTCCAGTAGCTGGCTTTAACACATGCCTTATCGAGTAGAAACATGAGTTATAGCACCAAACAGCCCTAAATCCCCCCTCTGTTGTCATAAACATGGACTCTCCCAGCACCCTCCGCTGTCACCAGGGCCATTAGAGCCACAAGCAGCCATTCGCTAGCAAGTAGTGTCAATCAAATGGCTGATTGGTGACAATTATCACAACAAAGGGATGCAGAGGAAGCCATTGGTTGGCTGTCACCAAGGGCGAGGTTGGATGAGAGGAGCTGGTCGATACTCATCTTTAGATTAGAGCGGGGCTTTGAGTCCAGCTGATTCTGCGTAGTCGGCAGTTAGATGGTAGGATTTATTTGATCTGTGGTTATTGGCTGCAGAGGGTGGAGAGGGTGATGAGAATGGGCTGAGATGGCGCTCGAGGGAGATGAGGTCTTAGTGCACAAAATGAGCAGCTTCAGTCTTTATCCAGAGCTGTGAGCTAGGCTAAGCATTTCTCATGGGTTTTAGAGATAGGGGAGACTAAACAACATGTCAGTTAACCAAAATATAATAACAACACACATTATATATCAATTAAAACACAAACTGGATTACTAAATTGAGCTTAACCAAAACAGTGTTTCAAGAGTAAAAAAGCACATTTTCTGGCCACATAAGTGTGAATTAAAAATGGCAGTTGCTAAGCTTTATTTATTAAACCTAATGTAGAGCAATGAACAAATAAAGGCAACAGCTGTTATATCGTTTGTACAGCTGCCACGTGCAGCAGGTATAAAACAAGAGATCTTTTAGCTGTTGGACAAGCGGGACAACTTATTTTATCATCTGAAACTACATTAATCTCGCAAATAGCATGATGAAATTATTATTTAGTGAGCTTATATTATAGGTTGTGAGCTTTCCACATTATTGGTAGTATAACAAGAGTTATAAATGTTTTGTAAATTGATAGGCCTGCTATACTACTACTACTTGATATATGCTATTGTTAATGCACTGCATATTCATGCACATGTGACTCAAAATCACAGTTTCATTGACAGAGAAATGAGATACGATGAGAATGATATACTTAAAACTGCCAGCCTTAAATCAAAGTATAGATTGAATTATTTATTTTCCCAAAAATATTTATGTAATGCAGGATACTTTTTCAACCCTGATTAGGTCAGCCTGTATGCAGCCTGAGAGGCAAATCTCAGGGCAAATCTTGAATGATCACTGCTCACCAATAAAAACCTTACTCAAAGATTTGAGATTTCAGAGAGCTGGAGCTCAATGACTGGAAAAGTGTCCATCATGCATTTATTCATCTGTTATATATCTGGTCTTGCCAGTGACATCTTTGAAGATTGTGACATGTAGTCTTTGCAAACACTACAGTTGTTTTCTGACCCACAGTTTTATATTTTAAGTCTGAGCGCACACCACCCAGCAATACCTACCCATCTGTCTGCTGAGATCTATCGTTTTCATAACCTGCATGCCCATTTATTCGTCACACTGCTTCCATTTCTCCCTTCCACAGCTTCTTGTGTGTCCGTGTGCTAGAATTTTGACTTGGTTTGACTTTGGTTCTCTTGTCCCCTCCATCCTCTAGAATGCTGAGCCCCAGGTGCAATGCCCCAGAGATTTGGTAAGACTCCACCCCATCACTAGCCCGCAATAAAACCATCTTCCCAAATCCGCTGCCTCCTCCTCAACAGCTCCTACTCCTTTATTTAGCCCGAACCTTTGCATGGGTGTTATTCATCTGTGCTAGGAAATACACCGAATTTCATCACCCAGTTGGGATGAAAACAATAGCTTATGCGTGTGTTGAGGTTCCACTAGTAAACTAGTGGGTTAATCAAAATGCAAGTCACTAGTCACGCGTATAAATGTTAGTCAGTAACACAAATTTCAATCTCCATCCAGAGTTGCTGTAACAAATCACAATTTCATGGTTCATCAGTATGGACTGTTCAGGCTGTGCTGCAGAATAATTCGCTCCATCACTCCCCTCAGAGCTGTATTTGTCAGTGAAGGTAGAAACACATTGGAGTTTGCTTTATTTGTCGGCTGTGGATAAGGTTGTCAGTCTGGCCTTCCTGCAGCATGCTAACTCTGATATGCGAGGTGAATGACAAACAAGCTGTTTAGTTTGTGTTTCATTTTATTGAGAGAAAAATGCAGAGAGCTGGATGTGGATGTCTGAGCGCCAAATGTAAACAGAAACTTTGGAAACTTTGACATATGTAACCGAGACATGTATAGCCTAATGTTATATCCAAATACCCAGGAACTGGATGCAAAGAAACTTTCCTTATCTTGGGGTTGTACCATGCAGTGGCTGCAGATGTTATTTTAGGATGAGAAGCTACCTTCTATGAAGAATCAGCTCTCTCACAGGATGTACGGTATTTCCAACTGTTACAGTACAGTCTCGATGGCCTGAATGTTACTTGTCACACATTACCCTTAAAGGTTCTCCATCACAGCAGCTGTTAAAAGCTCATCTGTCTTTACTGCTGAAATTAAAAGGCTATTCAGTTTTCCATAACTCTGCATTTCCATACCGAACTTGAGTTGTAATTTAACAACCGCAGACTTCATGTCTTCGCATCTGGCGTTACCTTCAGGTTACATCTGGCCAAGTGCAGGTGATTGGTTGCAGTTTGAGTGGCGCATTAGAAGCGTAATTGGCCAGTTAATGTGATGCTGTGTGGATGATCCTCATCATCGAGGAACTTTATGACAGGATGTTGATGATTATTGTGACTGCAGCTGGCACATCTCACATCAGACACGGACACGTGTACAGACATGACGACATGTATCAATCCATCAGCCTTTAAAATAAGTGCCGAGAAAGACACCAGGGAGTGGGCCTCCTACCACTGCTGCCTTGTCAGTAAGAGCCAACACTATAGTAAATGTCACATTTTAGTTGGCTTGTTATAAGCCACTCTTGGCAGCATTGTGCTTTGGTATCCCAGGGTACACTACCAGTGAGAGAGAACTTCAGTTTTTTTCAGTTGTATAATGGAAATTAAAAAAAATCTGTTTAGGAGCCACGTTTAAGTGTTTTTATTTCCCGCATCTGATAGAGGCAAATCTTTTCATTGTTTTCCTTTTTAATTATCACAAAGTAAACTTAACCTGTAAAAATTCTACCTAGTGCGACTTCAGGATTAAGGGAAGTAAAAGCAATTGTTTAATTTTCTGCATATTTTTGGATGTTTACTTTCCTAAAAATCAATGCAACCACAGGGACAAGATAGACTGAGGAAATGCACCATGGTCACGCTGTCCCCCCCCCCCCCCCCCCGCCGTTTTGTCTCTTCTCATCTCCCTCCTTTCCTCCCTTCCTAACTCCAAAACTCCAGATGAGTCTCTCTCCTCCTCACCCTTTCCCGGAACATCAACCACCATAAATGGATTCAGTGCCTTTCAGATGTTATCTGTTGTCAGACGCCTCATTTTAAACATCTCGCCGCCAACAACAACAGCAGCAGAGGCACCATGATGGTGTACAGCTTTAGATGCAGGGTGTGCATCTTACAGAACAGGGCAGCTTTTAATGGACATGTATCCATTTTCAAGTAATAGATACATTTCCAGTAAATGAAGAGAATTGGATGATGAGAGGAAGGGCGGCGACTAATGATTCTTTTCATTATTAATCTCTTGATTTTTTTGATTAGTCGACTACTCTTAAGAATATCTGAAAATGTAGAAACATGCAAAGGTGATGCCTTCAGATTATTTATTTTTTTTGTCCGAAACAGTCTGAATTATAAAACGTTTCTATAACAGAAAAGGGCAGTTTCAGACTTAGAACCATTTAAGTACAGCAAACTGGAATTGCTCTGGGCAGCATGTGAACAGAGACATACTGACATGCTGTGCCTTTATAGAGCTTAACTATGTCTGATAATTTTGTTACTAAAATGAATCTATTCCTTTTATTTTAATAGCTTTGTACATTTAAGAAAAATGCAATTGACAAAAAAAGCTAACAGAATATAATATGTTGACAGCTTGTAGAGCCGCAGGTTTGCCGGCACTCCAGTTGGGGCTTTTGGGGTTGGCATGGCATGACTCCTGCTGTGAGAGAGAGCTCTGTTGAGGGTTACACGACAGACAAAATGCAGCAACTGAAGTGGAAAAAGCACTCACTTTTTGAAATCGGGCCAATGACCCCAAAATCACCCGCGTTTGCAGTGCACTAGTGGATGTCATTAGTTGTGTGACACTCTGGTTCACTCATGCCACATTATTGCTTTTGCACAGTTAATGCAAAGTTAATGTCTGCTGGATTCATTTAAAAATGTGCCAATGTTTAGGTGCATTTGTGCTTCTCACAAACACCTCAGCTATAACATTTACATCCTTGACCCTCCATGTTAAATATTTTACCACCTCACTCTACATCTCAACTGGCTCAGATGTCCCTCATCACATTCCTGGACTGAGTTATTAAGTGTTCTCTATCTGAGGGACTCTTGTGTCTAACCTGTTGACTTTGACTGCTCCCTTTAGCATCCGAGGCAGCCTGTGACAGCCGGGAAACCCCATTGGCTGATTGAGGTAACTGCTGCATGACATCACCATCTTGGGTCATTATGCTGCACAAGGAAAAGGCATCAAAGGCAAATGAGATGCTTTGGGTGGCTTCACAAATATACTGGGAGTCATTGCTTTGCCAACGGTCTGTAGAAAGAAAACACTTTGTCGGGTTTTCTCTGTCTCTCTCAGCAGCCCTTACCTTCTCCTTTCTTTTATTTTCATTGCATCTGTCTTGTTTCCGCCTTTGTTACTTCTCTTCCATCTCTTTTTCACTCCATTCTGCCCCTCTCTTTCTTGCACACACACTTAAGACACACTTAAAGACGCAAATCCTCTTCCCTGCACCTGGCTTCTACAATAGAGTGCTGATCAAAGGCATCCGTCTTTACATGCCTGCCCTGATAGTTCCATAATGGTCCCATAACGTGAACATTCAGCTCCATTGTTTATGCCATTAGTCACACAGGCTTATGGAAAATTACTGCAAGGCTATATTGAAAAGCCATCAGCAGTGGCAGCAGTAATGCTGCAGCAACACTGTGCCAAGATGCTATCTATCACACGTGCGTGTTTCCTCTTCTGTCTGCATACAAAGCTGTTATGAAACGGCAATCTGTTAGCACGCTGGAGTGTAATGAAGGTGTTCTTGACATGAGATAGCATTTATCATAGCAGAACATGTGTTGGCTGTTCATGACACAGCATAAATATTATATCAAAATGTACAGTATTTTAAGTCATAATACAGTATGTCTGTAACAGGCCCGTGGATGTGGTGGCAAATATTGACATTGCATAACATGCCACAACTGATGAAACGGTATAGTGCAGAAAAATCTTCTGTTTATCCAAGGAGAATAATCATTTTTTAAATTTTGCATAGCTGTCACATATAAGCAGATCATTTGCCAATGGGCAAGAGTTTTCAAGGCAATATATAATTTAAACGTCTATGCTGAAGCCCAATTAGTTTGTTAAAAGCTTGAAATAACAAAACTGTCGACTGTAGAGATGTGGTGGTCACTCATATGCTCAAGGTAAAGACAGTATATTTAAAAATAATGTCATTTCAACCAGCAGCTCACTTCACAGGTCATTCTCCCTCTGTGGTTGAAGTGATAGCGAAAATGTGTTTTTGTTATGAATGAAAAACTGTTAATTCTTTTACCTCCATGTACAATAACACCAATGGACGGTTCCATGTAGGCCCAAAAATGACGTCAAACCCTGTGACATCCCGTCGCACGTGAGCCATGTAACCGTAATGCTTAGATTATAAGCTCTCAGTGAGTCTGAAAAAAACTATTGGCCATCTGTGACGCTGTGTTGGTGGCAGGTGAGCGTGTAGGTGGGCTGATACGCGTTGCTATGCCTGAACAGTTGCCAGGGTAGCAACTTGTCAATCACAAGTTAGCCACGCCCTAAATCATACCCTACTTTATTGTTTATTTAACTATAAATGGGACTAAGTTATGTACTTTAAAGAACCTTTTCTCAAGAATTTCCGTTGTATTCTTTATTCTTCTTCACTATATTTCAGATATAAACTGAATTTAACAAATTAACGTTTACTTATAAAACATAATGATCTTCTGAGATAGAATTGATTAAATAATCCAACATTATTAAACAGTGGTTAAAAGTACATTAAAAACAAGCATATCTGTTATTGTATCAGTAATAGTTATAATATAAAATATAACATGAGCAAAGCAATTTAATACTCAGAAATAGATCTATTTCATAATGAGATTTTGATACTTTACAATACTTATGTACTTTTCTCAAATAAATAAATCAAGTAGTAAAGACCGTTATTTATACTTTAGTACTTTTGCGTTGTCGTATTGCTTCTTTTACTTCTAAATACCTCTTCTACCACTGCTTTAGGTGCATAATAGCATGGGATTATTAACCTAAAAGGGAATCATTACAAGAGTTACATAACTTGTATCATTATTTGCACGATAGGATAGCTGCAGTGATTAATGGTTGCAGCGGGCTTGGTGCTGTTTCTGTGTTCTGTAGTGGCCTTTTGGTGACACATACGAGTCAATCAGAGAGGGCCGTTCTACCGCAGAACAGGCCCTCTAGCTTAATTAAAGTGATGTTTCAAGCTGCCACCTGGCCCACACACACACACACACAGTATACAGTTACATAGACCATACTGGAGTCTTTACACATTATGAACTCAAAAATAAAAAAAAACACAAGCCATATGGCACCCTTTACACAAACATCTCAGATGAACACACTCACTGCACACACACCACTACACATTCCCACATAAGTATACTTACACACTTGCGCACGCATACGCGCAGTGACATGGAGCAGCTGCTGGTGTAAGTGCTCGGGGTTGGATGAAGTTATAAATGGTTACTAGTGGGTTGTGGAGCGAGCCACATAGTGTTTGACTGTCCAAAATGGAAAGGACGCTAGAAAGAGGGCAGCTGATCAGTTTTGGACAGCGAGTGAGAAGTGGGACTGCATGCGTGTTTGTGCGTGTCAGTGGATTGTTCCTGTACATACTATAGTCATCATGTGTCAGTGATGCATGTTGGCAGTTGAAGGGGTGTATGCAGGCACAGACACAATATATAAGGATGACATTTACACATGCTGCTTTGTGTTTGTTTGCTCTGACACACATCCACCTATAGACACAGACGGGCCTGCCTTCCCTCTCTCTCTCTCTCTCTCTCTGTCTCTGTCTCTCTCTCTCTCTCTCTGTCACTCGCTTACTCTATCACACACATGCACACCTGCCTTTCCTCTCTTCCTCCATGCTGTGCCAGTCTCAGCTCCGTTGATCGCACAGGTATTTGATATTCATGGTCTATCAGCATGGAGCTACAGTGAGACGCGTCAGAAAGAGTGAGCGAAGAGAGACGGGGTGGAGCGACAAGGGGGGAAGGGAGGGGTGACAAATAGAACGGAGGGCAGCAGAAAAGAGGAGGTAGAGAGTGGTGGCAAGATGAAAGAAGAGGGTTTAGAGCTTCAAGATTTATCTTGGTTGAAACAAAGGATTGTAGCTCAAAACATGACCAAAAGGACGCAAAAGTAGGCGGGCAAGTGTGTCCACATACTTTTGGTCACATAGTTTAAATGGCAAGAAGAGAGAGAGAACGGTGAGGAGGAAGATATGGGAAAGGGGGGTGGCCGGGTGGTAAATGTAGTGATAGAAGGTAAGGGAGGAATAGGGAGAGAGTCAGAGTCTGACTAAAAAGAGATTTGTGCTACAGTAGGCAGCCAACAATGCTCTCCACGCCTGGCTTCCCTCGACCAATTACACCCTTCACTGCCTCCTTCCCTCTCTCTCTCTTTCTTTGCCCTTTTTTAAAAAGTTCCCCTCAAGCGACTTTTCTAGATGCCATCAAATTGACAGGTTTGTTCGGCCAAAGCTGAGCTCGCCGCCGACCCGCTAATCATTTCAGGGACTGCAGTGGAGGAGAGGTGTGTGTGTGTGTGTGTGTGGGGGAGAAGAAAGTGGGAAAGAGGGCGGCTTTGAATACTGTTAATGCAAAAGATCGACTCTGACTCCGTAGAATACAAAGAAGAGTCGTGGCTCTGAGGATGCGAGACATACATTAGATGTGCACAGTGGGAGAGGTTCAGGTGCAGAAGGAAAGGTGAGAGAAAGAAGTGCTGCGAGGGGAAGCGACAGAAAGCGGTGGGTGGGAGGTACAAAGACGAAAAGTGAAAAGAGATGTGAGAATTGGACTAACCAGCTAAATCTGGAAATGCTGTTTACATGTGAAAACAATGTGCATCCCCAATAGCATAGTAGTAGGAAAGACTTATATCAGATCAGTCTCCTCCTGCTTTTAAAACCGCGATTGTCATGATTTAGATGCTCTTATCTACTTATTTTTCTGTTTTTGTTGTCAGACAACTGAACAAGCAGATGATGATAATTTGACATTGGATTATAGCCGCTACCTGTTAACCAGACAAACAGTATTTTCTGTACTGCTGCACTGTGAAATCACCAAGTTGTCTTCAGCAGACTTTGTGTTTACCGTGACCACACGAGACCAGATTTGTCTTTTCTGCAGACCGTTTTGAAAAAGCACAGTTTTCTTGTGACCGGTTTACTGCTTTAAACACGGAGAGAAAAAAACGATGGCTCCTCAAATTTAGCTGGTTTAGTGCAGGCACACTCTCCTCTCATACAAATGCGATGATGAAGAAAGGAAAAGGATATGGAGAGATGGTGGAAGCGAGAGAGACAAAATTAGGGTTAGAAAGGGGAGGCAGCAAAGGGGGGGGGGGGGGGATGAGCAGAGGGAGATAGTTTTTAAGAAAAAGCGAAAGAAAGTGGAGTGCAGAATAAAGAGACGGGTGAAAAGGGGTGGATGGTTGAGAGAGGGAGGGAGAGATACAGACATACAGTAAGAGAGGTGGCAGTGTCTGTCTTCTTTTGTGTTCCACATGGATTAATCCTTTTCTGTCAGCCTTTCATTCACACCCGCTCGCCCGCTCACTCTGTCATTGTCATGCTCGCGCTCTCTCAGTCTTTTCACCCTTTTATTTTCGGCTCCTCGCCTTTTCACCCTCGCTCCAGTTGCCTCCGTCCCTCCTCTCGAGCCCATCACTCCTCTCCCTCCCCTCACCTTCTTTCAACTCGTCTGACTGTACTTTGAGGGGTTTTTTTTCCCTCAGTTTTTTTGCCAGTGTTATTTATTTTCACCCACTCTTTTGTGTTTCCTCGTATTTTAGTTGCATATTGAAGTCATCCTGGATCCATCTGAATTTTTTAAAGCAGTAAATTGGAGTAAAGCTTAAGTATAGAACTATTTTTTTATTGAAAGATTGACTACTTTTGTGTCACATTATTGTTAGTGGTATTTAACTTTTCCATAAGTTGGCACAGTTGCTGATGAGGGAGTAATGGTAAAACGTTTGGTACTGTAGGTGATTTCTAACTGCTAACTACCTTAAATGTGATGTGACTAGCTAGCTCACCACTATCTTGTCGTCTTGTGTTTCTTTCTTGTGGAAGCCATCTTTGGCCGAGCTTAAGTAATACAGCTGACCCCTAAGGATACAGATGTCAGCGCTGCACTTTAGCTTCTTGAGCTAAAATCATGTGAGCTTCAAAGACTGTAGAGATGAGCTGCTTCACAGTTTTTAGATAACAGCTTAAAATGGTGATGTGATGTGGTATGATAAAGGTTTAGCTTGAAGATTTTGATTAATGCTTTCTATCTGCTGTCTGCCACGCTATCAAGCTAATTGCTAAGTCTGTAAATTACATGATGCAACCAAGTGGCAAACTCTGGGGCAGAAAAATGAAGCAAGCGCCAAAAACTGTAGTTCATCGAATGGCCACTTGAGGCTGGCTCTAAAAGGGAGTCGTCTTCCATACACCGCCGTGTCAAAAAGCCTGAATTTACATCAGAAACAAACATGTTTACTGCCTGGTACAAAAACTAATTTCCATGTTCATGACAACCAGTTGCATCATGCAGTTTCCATAGCTAAGGGTAAAGCGATTTGAGTGACAGGTGGGTGCCCTCTCAGGAGACTAGCAGCTACGCGGTTCCGCAACCAGGCTTCAATCGGCCTGCCTCGGCCCCACATCTTTTTCGAGTAGCTAGTGTCTGGCAGTACCAAGATGGTGATGGCCAGAGCCCACTCAGCTTCAAAACGGCGTGGGTGACGTCACATACACGACCCATTTTTTGTAACGTCTATGGATGCAGCCAGCTTGTCTGAGCACTTTCTTGGTCTTTTTTAACAGCAAAAGACTGTTTCAGTTGTTGCAGTTTAATTGAAAATGACCAACTATACTTTTGAACTATACTTTCAGTAAAACATCACAGGTGTAAATAATGTAATCTGCAGAGTATGAGATTTATGTTAGTCTTTCAAGTTTAAAAACATAGTTAGCTCTGTTAATGGCATTATTCATATTGAAATGCCTGATATTACTTAATAGATCCATAGATAGATTGCAACCTTGAAATGACATCACATCTGCTTTACTTTACAATTGTAATAATTAATTTGTTTTGTAATTTCTTATTATGACCATTTCATTGTCACTTTTTAATTAGCCTTAAATTCACTTCCCGGCAGAATTAATTGGACTGGAATAATTACATTCCTGTTGTCTTATGTGTTATTATTTCTCAGCACTTATGTTATGTTGGGTTTTTTATTTTATCTCAAAGGTATTCCAGGTAGCATTTATTTTTCTTTCTCACATGCTTACACCCTGACAGTGCTCCTCAGGCTTGCTTTTCCTCTATCTTCCTTCTGTTCCCTCCCTTTCCTTCTTACTCCATGCATCCTTGTTTCGCCCTTCTCCTCCTCCTTCTGTCTCTCCCCCACCTCCTTCCCCACTTTGACTCGCCCTCCATCCCTCTGTCTCTCCCCTCCATTCCACCCAGAGCAATTCCATCTCTCTCTTAGCAAACAAAGGGAGCTAATGACATGCTGACACCGAGCCCGATGATTGAATTCATTAGGCGTGCACAATAATTGCCAGGCGTGAGCGTGCACGCACCCATCTATTCAGAGGACAGCTGTCAAATAACAACCGAGAGAGAATAGCTTTTTATTGTTGAGCTGGAAGAGAGAGTGAGAATGAATGTAGAGAAAGAGCGAGAGAAGCACCTGTTGTGGAGGGGAAGAGAGAGAGCGAGCACTCAGCATGTCAATTAGGCTGCTGTGTTCATGCAGGGTTACTGAGAAGTTTACTGCCAGTTTGACGCACTTGGCATCACGATCCAGGTGCATGGCATGTCGAATTTATTCTTTAGGTAGTGTTTGTGCTTCTGTCTGAATCCTTTTTTCAAAACTCTGAGTTTTAGTGCTTTGAAGTGAGGACATATTAAGTGTGTTTGATTTGATTAGAAGATTAGAATTAGGTTTCACTTTGTTGAGTGCTGAAATAAGTTTAGGACTGTGTTATGTTATAGCCATTGACAATTGTTTGCCGACTTGGGATGAAAACAATGGCACATTTATTATAAAAAGAGAATTAACCACCTCTGTGACAGTTGTTCATATTTTCAATTTGTGTTTCATTAAAGCATTACAGTATATACAGCGTTGGTCCAAAATCAGGCTTTAGATTTAATTCACCAGGACTGCACAATAATAAGAAAAAGATAAAATAATAAATTATTTGATGGATTTTAGAATATGAAATACTGTCTGCACTATAATTATTTCAAACAAGTAGATTGTGGTAATAATTGTCAAATAATTTTCAATTTAAAGAGGTGGTATTATGTTTTTTGGCTTTTTTCCCTCACCTTTATTGCATTATATACCTTTTTTGTGCATGTAATAGGTTTTCAAAGTGAAAAAGCCCAAAGTGAGTTCCCATCTCCCACAGAAAACTCTGCTCTGAACTGCCTGAAACAGCTCGCTTGTAATCCAGCCGTTTCCCTTTCATCCTTGTGACATCACAGGGATGAAAACTAAATGCGCCTCATAACGCTTGTCAAGCGGCTACTCCGACACGCCCTCAAAAACAAGAGAGGAAAAACAGTGAGCTGCAGCACATTAATAACTCACCACTCTGAAACTCTTGCTCCAGTCCATGTTGCCTACAGCTGAACCGAAGCTGATTGGCTAGTAGTCCTTAAATAGGAACTGTGCATGCACAACTCCCAACAAAGATCATGTAGAGGCAAGATGAATCACTCCATAGCAATTTGCAGTATGACAAAAAATATGGTGTTTTTTGAAAATTAAACCATGTAAACCTGTTCTGGTATAACCCCTAAATAGGATTTTGAACCCGAAAATGAGCAGAATACCACCTCTTTAAACACCATCACAATCACTAATAATATCATGTAACCGGCAAATAAAAATGTGCTGACAGATGTACAAACATGGAACACTTGCATGGGCTGGATCCTAAAGGTTTTGAAGAACCCCCTACATGCTTTAGTATTGATGAACCAGAGCATGGTGCCTTGATTATACAAGTCTCTGCCTGCTTATACTAAATACCTGATTTACCAGTTAGGAGTGCTGGTCTGTTTAACACTAATATATCTGATGTAGCTAATGAGCTTGCACTCTTGATTTACCTCCCTGCTATCTGCCTGCAATGCAATTTATATACATTAACCTCAAGAGGCCAAATGAATGTCCTTTTAACTTTGGCCCTTTGGCTAACCCGCAGAGACAAAGTGCAAGGATGGCGAGGCTGAAGGGGCCTATGTGTGATTGTTTTACAATGGAATAAACTCAGAAATAGTTTTGCTTTGTATAGTTAAATATGCATTCTGGTGTATGTTTTTTGAAACTGTATTTCAATGACTATGCAGATGTAGTTCTGCTGTTGATGCTGGTCGAGTTACTGATTATGGTATTTATTTTGATTTAAGGCACATCAGGCTTGTTTTGTTTGAAGAATTTTTGAAGTCTAGACTCTAAATCTATGTCACTCCTTCTTTGTTCCCCTTCTTACAGAAGACAGAGGAGGACGACTTGGTCCTGACTCCAGACGGGACCAGAGAGTTCCTGACCTTTGAGATCCCCCTCAGTGACTCAGGTTCAGCTGGGTTGGGTGTGAGTGTCAAAGGTAATCGCTCCAAGGAGAACCACGCTGACCTGGGCATCTTCGTCAAATCGATTATTAATGGAGGGGCAGCCTGCAAGGTACGATACCTTCTGTTGGAATTAAAAGGGGTTTCAGTGGACATTTAAAAGAAAGGATTAAACGATCAGCCTTTATTTGTCTCACAGGTGAGAAATGTTCAACATTACAACAGCAAGTGGATAGCACGGAGTAAAGTGATATTAAACATAATACTAAATAATTAAAAACTATATTTTTACACATATAAAACAAATTATATGTGTAAAAAATTTAATTGAAACAGTGCAAGTGACTTTATGCATTTTGGTATGCTTATCCTGGAGACTTTAAAAAGATAAAAACAAATTCCAATGCAAAGTGACGTTGTGCATAGATTTCACTCAGTCTCTGAGTTGAGGTTACTGTAAACTGCTTAACAGTGCTGATTATAAAGTTTCACAGCTGCAGGAAGAAAAGATCTTCTGAATCTCTCCTTCACACAGCGAAGAGTTATCAGCCTGCCACTGAAGGAGCTGCTCAGTGATGATAGTGACTCATGAAGGGTGTGGAACGAGGTCTCCAACATGGATGAAAGCTCGAGCGAGCATCCCAGGACAGAACTGGCCTTCTTAATCAGTCTGTTAAGTCTGTCGTTGTGATGCTGTTACTCCAGCATACCACACCAAAGAAGATGGTTAGCTGTTAGCTAGCAGCTGTAGGGACGGAGATATAATTCCAGGAATCTGTATGTAATATAAATTAGTGAATAGTTTCTCTTTTATCGAGTGATTTAACCTCTTGTCTGGCTGCAGTAATGCAAAGTGGAAACCAGGGTGGGGTCAGGACATTGTGACTGGGTGTAGTTAAAGGTGCACAATACACACTTCTGAAGCTTCCAAGCAGAGAAGTCAGCCCTGCTGTTCAGTTACTTGTTAAATAGACTATATATGGTCTACCAACAAACATTTTTTTTCTTGTTTATTTTCATTTTTATAGCCACAGTTATTTAAAATATAAATACTCTAACCCCATGTGCAGTACCTACCTTTATTGTGAGCTGCTGCTCTCACCTGTTCAAGATAAACCCAGAACCTGCACACGCAGACACACACACACACTTAAAAGGTCATAGAAACATTATATATTACTTTCTAATATTTGCAAACAGTCTGTTAGAAAGAGACAGAATAGAGGGAAGTCATTCAACAAACTGGATACATCAGTCTCAGTTTTTTACCTCATGATTTGAAATCCTTCTGTATACCGTTGGCAGGGAAACTGAAGTAAAAAGACTTTTCTGTTCCTCAGCACTATGAAGAAAAGCAGTGCCCTTTCTGTTGCTATCTGTGGTGATTTGCTGTAGTTAGTTTCAATAGTCTTTCAACTTGATTGTTTTTCATTCCAACATACTTGTGTTGACAGAATGTAATAGTTGACTTAAAATCACACTTCTTTGTTAGAGATTAGATCATGTGAGCGAGACTGTTAGTCTGATTAGAAAAGGATTGTAATTAAATGGGAGATATGACCGTTTTTCATTGATCAGAGCATTCAGTATTTGGTAGATGGAAAAATACAATCTCCACTTTTTCTGTGCTAGTAAGAGTTTAAACATGAAACCATAACTTCTGCGTGATTTCTTGTCCACCGATAGGACGGGCGGCTTCGAGTGAATGACCAGTTGATAGCTGTCAATGGAGAGTCGCTATTGGGCAAAACCAACCATGACGCCATGGAGACGCTGCGCAAATCCATGTCAACGGAAGGCAACAAACGTGGGATGATCCAGCTCATTGTGGCCAGACGAGTGGCCAAAGGAAATCAGGTATGGAACAAGATGAAAGATGGATTGGATTAAGACAAGGGTGTGTGGCTGTCATTTTTGGCAATGGCAACTGTTTTTAGTTGAGTAGGGACAACATGATGGATATATATCTGATAAGGATAAAGTTGGTGACAAATATCAAATACAATGAATGCAATATATCAACATTAGTCAGATTTCTACAGTACTCTATTTTTTTTTTTGATCACCTAAACTCTAATGTCTTGGAGTTGGAGGCTGCATGATCAAAAAACTATTTTGCAGACAATTAGCACTGCCAAACTGACTGCTAATGTTGGCTAGCCTAACTCCATAGCAAAGCTGTGTCAAAACTTAACAATAAGTAAAACATTGATTGATGTAAATAAAACCCAAGTTGAACTAATTTTTTAGTACTGTTGTAACTTCTTAATCAAATTGTGGTCTTATTTTGAACGAGGTTAGTATGGGAGTTTTGTCCATGTAAACATAATGATTTATTCTTTAATTTACCCTGACTGAGCACACATGACCTTTAGCAGCAGCAGCCTGCCTCACACTTGAGTTTCACATGTTCACACTTCAGAGTCGCACATTACAGCTGCATTACTACAGTGTTGACTGTTGACCCCTAAGCAATTCCAGTGGAAAAATTGGGGAGTAAACACACTACACAAGGACATATCAACATTTGTCATTGAGTAAATGGGGAAATGTTTTCATTCACAGTTGCTGCTCAGATTTTTCTTGACCAGAAGTTTTCTTTTTCAGCCTGCAAGGCTTGTGACCATTTAATAGACACCTTTACTAGTATGGTCATCACAGATGGGATATTGATAACTTTGCTCAAATGATAAAAAATGTGTCTTGTTTGTGATACTTTTTCAGATCAAAGTGGTTGTAATTATAGTGTCTGTGTCTTTTCCTGATTTTAAAAAAACAAATAAGCCTGAACTCATCGGACGCTGTTGTCCTAAATAACGACACTTGTGTGGACATGGTATCATTAGGCACCACTTCAGTAAGACCCTTTCTGTGATAAATATACAATACAACCCTAAAGCAAGCCATTGGGGATTACCCTACTGAGCAGCAATGAACTGTTTTTAATGAAATTAAAGTAAGCATTTAAGTCATTGTAGTTTGCTAACCCGTTCCCGCACGGGCTCACCACCCTGAGGGGAAAAAAACCCAAAAAACATTGCTGCGAACAGAGCTTCTCAACTTTTTTCCACCCCTCAATGTCATGTTTTTACATTCTCTGTACACCTTGGCCTGTCGCCTGCTTGAAAGCCGAGGCTGAGTCTATGTGCACCACTGCTGTGTGTCTGTGTACGTGCGAGCATGTCTGTGTGCATGTGTACGCCTCTGGCACTGCCTGGCTTCCCTGCTCTCCTTTTCCAACCTGGTGTGTCAAAAGTTTTGATTTCCCCTCGGCCCATCTGGTAATTGAAAGCAGAGGCTAAGCCTGGAGGTGTGTTTTGTGTTTGTGTGTCTCTGCGTACGCACACGTCTTTGTGTCTGCGCACGTATGTGTATATGAGTGTGTAGTCTGTGCTTTTGTACATCCTGCTTATGCATGTATGCATTTATTTTCAAGGATCTTTCTGTGTGTTCGTTTGCAAACAGATACCCTGTGTGTATGTGTGCAGTGCGGTCGTGCAAAGGCAGTGAGGCTTCACAGACAGCATGGTGGATGAATAAAACTCTAGCACTGGGAGTCAGTCTTTGCTTCACATGCAGAGCTGGAGGCATGGCCTGAGGCTGTCCAAGTGTCTGACTATTTATAAGAAATAGTGTCCAAGTCACTCAGAGAGAAGGAAAGCAACAATTTAATACACTCAAAGAGACTGATTTAGAAAGTCCCTATAGAGTCACTTTAATACCAAATAACCTGCGGTCCATCAAATATCAGTTCAAATCAAATACCTAATGACGATAGGATGAAAACTGTTGCTGAGTTTGACGTACTGTCATTCTCATACTGACATATTGGAACAAATAATCCTTTATTTACTTTGTCCATCCCTTGACAACCAATCTCAAATCAATCTCAAATGTTTGCCGTTGCATAAATCACAAGCCCAACTGCTCTCGTTCCTTCCCGCATCCCAACAGAAACACAGCGAACCCAGAGCAGCTGACTTCCTCATCACCGCTGGCACCTGATGGGATCAAGACTGTCCCGGAGCTCGATTATCAACCTGAATATGCAATGAGCTGCAGTGTGATTTGTCGATGCGCCTTCAGTATGGCAAATCCCCTCGGCTGTTACTGAGGCTTTTCACCTCAGCCGACCCAATTCATTAACCATCTCATTTAAAGTCAGGAGCAGCCGCATGCCAACGGTCGCCGCACCACATGGTGACCTTAGAAATTAGTTTTTTTCCGTGAAAGATTTGTGGTATCCCTGTGTATAGGTTTGATTGGTTGTGTTAGCTGTGATCCAAGCCATTTCATTTGTCCAGTAATTAAGTGAAAATAACTTTCACCAGCAGTTGATTATAAAATCCTATGAAATCTGATCCCATTTATATTAGTGAGTAAGCTAGAAGCTGAACCCCGAATTGCCCCGGAATTGTGGCTGTTCCGCCAGTGTGTGAATGTTAGTTTCCATTTGAGCACTTAGACAGTGTATGAATGTGTGTGTGACTGGGGAATGCAGATGTAGGGTAAAAGCGCTTTGAGTGGTCGAAAAGACTAGAAAGCTATACAAATACAGAGCATTTACATTTGTACCTTACAGGAGTATTTCCATTTTACCCTACTTTATACTTCTACTCCACTACATATTAGAAAGTAATGTTATACTTTATACACCACTTTATACATGTATGTGAACTTTACAGTGCGCAATTTTACATCCAAAACAGATCATTATCTGCATGGGTAGAGTGCAGGGCTGGACTGGTAATCTGGCAAATGGCAAATGACACAGACAGCAAACAAGAATGTCATCATAGGTCCTGAGGGAAATGTCAAGATGCTCGTAAGCTAAACATCCCGCATGGGGGAACACTAGCTCGCTAACAGCCTGTGGCTTAACTGCCTATTGGAAATCCATGCTCACTTATCCTGGTTATCACACTTCTAGCATTAGCATGGATAGCTGCCCTCGTGTTTGTCCATTACTGTTGAGCAAATGTTGGCATGACTAGTTCCTTTCTGGATCATGTTCCAGTTTGGACTGTGCTGTATCTTAGACAAGATGTGCAGTGTGTTAATTAATGACTAGTACAAAGGATTATTAAGTCTTTATCAACACAAAGGCCTGTGCCTTCTCAACGCGCTTCACAAATGGTTCAACTGGTCTCTCTGGCCTCTGCTTCTTACAGGCTTCAGAAGTCTGTAAAATCTACACAGGTTTAGGAGCATAATCGGAGAGAATAAACCGTAGAGTATACAGCCAAAGAAGGAGCGATCAACCTTCTTATTTACTTCTTTTTTACTTTACTTTTATTTAATAATTATTCTATCACCTCCTCTCCTCAATTAGGAGGCACCAGGGAGCCCACTGGGACCTCAGACTTTGAACACCTCTCTGGACGATCACGAGCGCCGAATCTCCCACTCTTTGTACGGTGGCCTGGAGGGCCTCGATGACAACTTGATGCCACGGCAAGGCATGATGCCTCGCACAATAGGTAAGACTGACACATCAGTTCTGTCTCTTTGGCTTGTTGTGTTGCTCCAGTTGTTACTGATTATAGCGTTTACTCCCTGGTTGAGGTTTATGTGCATTCTGAGGTGGATCTCAGTCTGATGCCTTTGCTGTGTTCCAATGCTAAGACCGGTATTGTTGACTTGGTGAATATCGGTAAGGATTCCAAACAATTATACATACGCTGCCATTTAAGAATTGTACTATGTGGTAGCGTTTACATGTCCCTTCTGTTAGTGTTAAGTGTGTTTTCCTGGTAGATTCTATAGACTAATCTGCCAGGTTTTGTCAACACAGAATATCTGCTAATTGTGCCATCTGGTCTAAGTTCCTGTCAAGACTGGGTGGCTTCTAATGTCTCGGAAAATGTCAGGGAGAGAGAGACAGAGATGGAAAAAATCTCCTGGACAATTTGTTGCCACAGACGCCCTGCAAGTGATTGATTGTTTTTTTGGGGGGTGTTGGTTTTATGGGTGTATTCATGAGTGAGAGCTCTGCACACATCTGTACAGGAATGCATGTGTGTAGCGCTTGAAAGATTGATGGACGTCAAAGAAATTCTTCTGTACACCAGATGGTGAAACTGCTCAGCTCGCCTGTGTAAAGTTAATTCAAGTACAAAATGACCCAACTGCCTTTGTACCTTTTGTCTTCTGCAGTTGTTTATTTACTTTGCATTTTTTGAAAAGACCAAAATTATCCATGTGATTTAAGGGATACTAAAATAACACCTGAATTATTATGTATAGTCAGTCCAGAAAAAAACATTCACAAAATACCTTAAATGTAAATTAAGGTAAGAGGAAGAGTTGGCACACCAACTTTTAATCTTATTTTTAATTATCTCCTCCTACCAACTTTACCTCATTAATCAATGCAACATAATGTGAAAGTGTGAACTCTGTTTTCCTTTCATGCAAATTGGTTGACATTGAAACTGTTGTTAGTGTAAACAAAAAAAAAAAACAAAGTTGTGAGTTATGACTGACAGAGGAAGTGTTAATGGGTGAAGTTCCAGGAGGCTGCCACTGTAGCTGGGTTCATCCATGCTTAACAAACAATGAGGGCTTATAATGAGCGTACAGGGTCGGAAGTGAAAGCACAAGGCAGATATGCAGAAGATACAGCAGTTGTCTGCTCAACGGTGGCAAACAAGATCATTGTCTCTAAACCGACCAGGCGAGCTGATGTCTGTATCTACAGCCCCAGTGCTTTTATAACAGCACGAGTTGATCAAAGTGCTGTATAAAGTCAGCAAATACATGAAATCATTACGAACCAGCATGGTGCTGCCAGTATATGGACATATCCAGCCGTGCAGTAGGAACAGCAGCTGAAAGCTGGAGAATAAAAGTGAATTTTGAACTGTGGCTTGAAAACGCCATTTGCAGATTAATAGAAAGGAGAAGGGCAAATAAGAACATTTATGTTACATCAGTATTTTAAGCTGATCAACTTAATAGTTTTGAATCAGAACTTTCAGTATTTGGATCACGTAGCTCGTGAAAAATAAGGTGTACCAAAATTAGAAGGCTACATCTGGTATTTATTTAATTTAATTTCATGGATCAGGACGAAAAACATTTGATCGGGACATCCCTAACAAAAACGGTAGTCCCGTGTTGTAATTATCTGTAGTAAAAGACAAAAAATAAGAATTTGGGAATAAACATGCAGTGCTGGTACATGTATTTTTTCTTTAAGCCAATGAAGAGGACAGAATTAGAATAAAATTGTAAAATTTCCAGCAAAAGATAAGAAAAAGATCAAAACACACACACATACAGTAGGACTGAAGAAGGATAAAGTGAAGGACAAAACAGGAAGGACTAAAGAAATATCAGAATAAATACAAAGTTGTTATTGGCATTTGTCCCTCTGCCCCCAATCTCCTCTTAAATAAAATGAAATGTTGTCCAAAATGTGGAGCAGTATACGATCCTCAACCTTAACAAGAACGGGAAGGATTATACAACATAGAGGGGCTCCCTTTGAATGACCTCATGTCAGTGCTGTCACAGTGTTTAGCGACATCCAAACCTCATCCTCTGAGGATTTAAAAAAACACTGTGTGTGCCCCCTGACCCATCAAATACCCTGAGTTTTTGCGTTTTCGCCTCAAATCGACAAGACTAAGCATGGGAATTAGATGTCAGGGTGCCTAGAGTGGCCTGTTTCTTCTAATATCTCACCTAACCTCAACAAGATGGGACACCAGAGGCAGGAAACCTCCGAGCTTAGCCTCTGGAGGGATGTGCACTGTATAATTACTAACTATCACAGACACATGAGACATTTCCTTGCTCATTAAAAACTTAATCAGCCTGGTGGGGTGTTTTGTCTGACCACCCAAGGGGGAATTTTAACCCTAATTTGTCATATAAAATATTTTGGATCCTCTTCCTCCATGTTGTTTCAGAATCAGTCCAAATCAAGTGGGTAGTAAAACTTCCCATGTGCTTGGCCTGACCTCGAGATATGAAAGCAGGACATTCTTTGAGAACATTACTCTGTAGTTTTGTGTCATAGTGATATTGGAGATGTAGCGGAAGGATTAAAGCTTTATTTGAACTGTTTAATTTGCCACTCTGTGTTCAGCATGGAGGATAGAGGCCAGCAGGCTTAGGGGTGGAGCTGGTCAACTCTGCTTGATGCCACGGGCTCTTTTTAAAATACAATCTGGCAAGTTTTAAAAATGCACTGCCATTTTTATTTGCACAATATGTGTACAGCATACCACACCCTCTATCTTTATACCGTCTTCCATGACGGACAGGCATGCAATAGACGTACACAGTAGACAAACGTAAAATTACAACACTGACAAAATTATAGATAGTTTATAATGACAGACAAGCCAAAGGATCTGTAACTTTTAACTTGTGTGGACCAGAATCACCGTAGGTGAATGCACAAGCTAATTTATTGTTGCCACTTGTAGTTCTTTCATGTGGATTAACATAAATGTGGTGATTGACAGTTGTGTCATGACTACTTTAAATACTGTGGAATGGTCTGGAAAAGCAGACTCCCAGCTCTCCGCTGCTGCAGTGCAACTGCTCAGAAGCCAACAGTAGAAGACTGTAGATGCACTTGGCAGCTCCCAGATGTGAACGTGTGTGAATACAAACCAGAGCTTTGCGTGCTCAGCAAACCTCCCTTGAATAAATAAAATTGTGTGTGTGTGTGACTGCTGGGGGGTCTTTCACAGTTGCTTGGAATAATTCTGTTTTCTCATCGGAAGGGTGCCACAATGCATAAATCTTGCAGTAGGCTTTCCTAGAAGACAACATCATTCACATTCAGAACATATCAGCTAGCGTTTTGGCCCGTGCACACTGTTAGATCACTTGCTGGCTTTCTGCACTCTGAAGATCCCAGGGATAAGAGAGCAACTTAATTATTCCTTCAGGCCAATAGCTTTCAAGGCCCAGCACCCCTGGCAATAACCTTCTTACTAATTATGCAAATTGACCGAGACAAGACAAAATGAAAAGAGGGGGAAAAAAACTCCTGCATGTCTTTCACCCCGTGTTATTTTCACCTCTTGCTATCTCCATTTTCATCTACAAAATCTTTTCTACAACCCTTCTTCCCTCCTGGCCATTGCCACTGTTACCCCCAAGTGTTCTGTAGTTTTGCACAAAAGGCATCTAATAGTAATAGCCTCTCAGAGAATCCCAAAAGAAATGCCACCTATTGTTCCACTGCAGCTCAGTCAGAAATTATTACAGCCACTGGGAAAGATAATGTGTGTTTATTGGTTTGATTCTCAGGTGATGGGTGTGCGCTCCGTCCACATGGCAGTGCTATTGTTGCCGGCGGATGGCTGCCCTCGGGTTCTGGCACTGAAACAAAGAGGCTTTTTTCCTCTTTTTTTTACCAGGCTAGTGAGTTGACAGATTCATTGGTTTTCTACTCAGTAGCTGCCAGTTGATTGTATTGCAGTGATTCAAACTGTGACATTGATGGGATTCTCAGTGTCGTGCATTGGACTGCTTAGGGAAATGGGATTAAGTGGTTCTGCGAGTGCACGTGCGTGTGTTTGTGTATGTGTGTATAAGAAGTGCGCGTATGTGTGTGGTCTGAGAGAGAAAAGTGGGCATGCTGTGCTAGAGGACTCACCCGGACTTCCAAATTCACAGCAAATAACAAACACACACACAGCAGGAGGGGGCTGAAGTAGCACACACGCACGCGCACACACACTGAAACCACTGTAACAGTTGTAGTTAATGCAGTAAGGGCGTGCTCCCACACACTTTTGCAGCTACTGTCCAACACACTGATTTACAAACATACGGACCCATTCTTGCATACTTTTATTAGTTCATTTTTAGAAATAGAATGTCGATACTTTTCTCTGTTGTCATCTTCAAAAAGAATGCCTGCCAGCAAAAAAGTCCATCCGTGGCAGAATTTATTCTCCCTACCTTCAACTGGCTGTCCTGCAAAACTTTCTGTTCAAGTTCACTTCATTTATTATTATCCCAAGTGGGAAACTTGACTTGCAGTCAGGGCACAAGATAAAACATTCAAGGATATCAGAATAAACAGCACAAATACACAAAAGATACACACACAAAAATAAAATAAAATAAAATGTAACCAGTACATACAATACACTATAAATAGGCGCACATTACAAACCTAAAACAATCTCTAAATATGATGTTACCCGAGACGATTTAGCAAGGTTACTGCACAGGGTACAAAGGTCTTTTTGCTCCTATTGCACTTGAATCGTGGAACTCTAAATCTATGACCTGAGGGAAGAGTTACAAACTCAGATTGAAGAGGTTGATTTTTGCAGAAGAACCTGCTGGTAAAAGATAGCGGTCAGGGGAGTCTGTGAGACACTTCCAATATTGTTTAGGTGGTTTTTGTCCCTAATGTTCAGGTTTCCATACCACGCAATCATAGAAAAAGTAGGAACAGATTCAATAAAGCACTTATGAAACTAACACATAATTGTCTTAGTCAACATCGAAAACATTTAACCTCCTCAGGAAATGGCCAAAAAAGTGTCCTGAAGTACAAGGTGCCAGTGCGCAGGGACATGGCCAAGCTCAGGAGGGCTGAAACACAACTGCTTTAGGGAAAGTTGATGGTGAACAGGTGAAGAAAACTGACAGACGCCATAGATGGAAGGCTCATGGCAGTTACTGAAAAGAAGGCCAACAATGTTATTTAATTGGCATTTAGTGTTGTTACACTTGCTCTAAAACTTGAGAATAAACAAGTAATTTGATCATAATTGTTTTGGTAATTTAGTTGCCTAATAATTCTGGACACTAATAGTTTCCTTATAACTTGCACACTAGTGTATATTTTCCTGAACAAGACAAGTCACTTTTCCTTAGTTAAACATTCAGGTTTGAGGTTTAGCTATATTTTAGATTTACTGAGAAAATTGTTTGTTCAACATTAAAATGAATCCTGAGGAATACAAGTTGCCGAATAATTGTTCACGTGTGAAAATGTCTTCTAGTGCAAATACAACACTACTAATTTAAAAGTACATTTCTGTGCTAGAAATCAATGAGATTATTTCATCAGTGGTAGCCACATTACTATAGTATTTTTTTCCAGAACAGGGTTTTAAAAAAGTCCAAGGTACATTTAGGAGTTAATTTCAATAGAGAGTTTGACCTTGTTGCTTCTTATTATTTAAGGAAAGTTACAGTGAAAGAACAGTGACTTTTTCAATAACCTTTACACACACGCATGCCCACAAACTCAGGCTGTCACGCCACCTAGACCCCCCTTTCCTTCTCTATTCATCTCCATTTACATCAGGTCATTCACCCACGCTGGCTGGAAGCAGCAGCACCCAGTAACACATTGGTCCCCTTGGTGCTCGGTTTTGAGAAACCAACAGCAGGCCTGGCTCAGACCTCCAGGTCTCAGTCTTTAAAGCCCAAACACTTTCTAAAGACAAAAACCGTCTCCCTAAGCTCAGCACACAAGGCTTTTATGAAGCATGGAAGCTGCCCTTCTTTTGATGGCGAGGAGACCCCCCCCGCTCCCAATATCAAAATACAGATTAAAGACAAAGTCATGCGCTGCATATCAATGGGAGTTTTTAAGCCTTGCTTTTCAGAGGAGGAGAAAGGGGACTATTTATTTTTTTCGCCTCAGCACAGGCACAAGTTTTTATCTTTATTTGCGAGGGCACAGCTTGAATTAATCATAGTGTTTTGACATAGGAACACCATTGTGCCTGCTGCCAAACTCTACTTGGTATAAGCTGATTAGCCAGGAGCAGTTTCACTCTGCTTTTAAACTTCAAAATATGTTTTGTGTTTTAAAAAGTTACCCTGTATTTTAATTTTTTTCTAGTTGGCCCATTAAACATTTACTGCAGTCTTAACCTTGATACAGCAGTCTGTTGTCGCAAATAAATGCGTTCCTGAGGGTGTTGTGCAGAGAGCTGGGGAAGTGACCAGCTTTTTCTAAGCTTATACCCAGGTAGATGATATAGTTTTTCTATTATCCTCCTGGGAGCTGAAAGAAATAAGCGTTATTTTGTCAGACCATAGACTTACTATAAAACTGTTCAATCTGTAAATAACTAATTTTATGCATATGTAGATGCACATTGCACATCATTCAACAGTAATTATAGTCCTTGTGTAGAGTAATCAGCAGCTGTGGGGGGATTCATTATTGATGAAGCAAATTAAAATGCACCTCTTAGATACACCAAATGTGATTTTATTAAGCTTGCACCTCGTTTTTTCTTCCGCTCTGTGTGTAGACTGGATGCTTTATGCACAGATGCTGAAGCATTGTGCTGTTGCGGTAGGCTAGTTCTGTTTTACTCCAGACACACTGTACAGAGTTGTTGTTTTCTTTTAGCTTGAAATGATCCCATACTTTGGACACTTGGACACACAGAAATAAACTTTAAATGTGGAACTGGAGCTAGGTGATTAGCTTAGTGTAAAGACTAGAAGCAGAAACCGATAGCTTTTGTCCAAAGTTCAAAAATACATCTACCAATACCTGAGGGTGTGGTGGTGTGGTTTTGCAGTGAGATTGGTGCTGCCATGAAGTTGCCAGGCAACCAGAACACACAAGTGCTGGGCAGATGGAAAAACAGTTTTTATAAAGAAATGGCTTCACCATGAATGTATGCATCTCCCTCTAAAATCATACGTTGAGCCGTGGAAAGGACCGGGCTAGCTGTGTCTTTTATGTCCAAAAACCTTTTTGATTTGCACAGAAAATCTGTGCACAAAAGACACATGCCGTTTATATCCTGAAAAATATAAATAATTATTAATTTAATAAATAAAATATTTTTATTAAATTCACCTTGGCTTGTTTTGTTTGTTTTCCCGATATTTTTAATATTTGATAATGACAGTTGGTTTATTTTTTCAAATCATTTGTTCCCACAGCACATAAATCCAATCAACTGTTGCTTTTAGGTGTGTGGGGACAATTTCATACTATAGGACGAGCAAGAGAGGGACTTTTACCAATAGAGAGACTCAGAATGTAACATCCTCAGCCTCCTTTGTGTTCTGGTCAGTTGAATCTATTCTAATTGCATCTGTATCGGTCCTTTTGTCTCTAGAATAATGGACTTCCCACATGATTGTTTTGCACCAGACAAAACTAGACTTGAGAAAGACGCCCTTTGCTCTTTGATTCTGAAGGACTAACACAAGAACATTAACCATTTGTTGTCTCTACATTATAGAGGGGTCACGTGGCAGCGTACAGAGTAGGAGGAACAGGATAACTCATTAAAGAAACACATGATAGACACAGTTGACTGTCTATGGATAAATGAAAAGATTAAAAGAATTTTTAAAAATGTCTCCTCCAGGAAACTATCAGCTCTCACCGACCGTCAACATGCCGCAGGATGACACTGTGATCATAGAGGATGACCGGCAGCCCCTCTTCCCACCCCACCTCTCTGACCAGTCATCATCCAGCTCCCACGACGATGTGGCTTTCACTGCTGATGTGACGCCGCCGTGGGCCAAAGAGCTGCCCAGTCAGATTGAAAGGTAGGCAAAACTTTTATTCCTACCTCAGAGCCTTATGTACCTCCTTTACCATCAGCTTGTCAAACATAATGCAATTTTTCAATGCAGTTAGTATTTTAAGATAAATTTTTATTTCATTGCTGTTTGAACCGTAGCACCACTGTTGACTTCAACCGGAGACGTTTTATAGACACACCACTCAATCACTTCCTCAATACAACTCTATGGGGAAAGCCCGTAACGGCAAAGATGGCGGTTATCCCCTCCCGCTAGAAAGCCAATCGTCTGCTTTTAACAGCCAAAGCAGGAAACGTATTTCAGCCAATCGTGGGGTTCCACTGACGTAAGGGTCTCTCCCCATTCATTCAGATAGGAGCCTGGTCTTTTTAGTCCGAAATAGCTGCCCGGAGGCGTTGCCAAGATGGCGGCCAAGTGGCATGACTTGCCTATTAGGATTTTGCTTCAACTCAACACTCACACACTTTGTTTTTGCCTCGCAATGAGATTTTACATTTCGTTTTTGCTTTTTCCTCTTTGTCGGTCTCCCTTTAGTTGTTTTCTTTCGCCGCCTCTCATTATTTATTTGCCGTTCTTACCCGCTCCTTTACTTTCTTTTAATCTAAAGCTCTGTCTTTCTCCTTTCTTTCAGTATTACACACTCCTCTCAGTTCTACCTTCATTGCCCCCAACTATACTGTCTTACCATCATTTGTTTCTTGCCGCCGCCTTTTATTGCCCGGCCCCTCCTTTTACTTTTTTAACCACTTTTTCAACTCTTCTAATTCTTTCCTAGATTCCCTCCATCTCTTGTTCACCTTCTTTGAACTGCGTGAGTTCAAAGAAGAGAGGTTCTTTAAAGTTTCTTGAAACCTTTTGCTCCTCATTCAACTGTCCATGCTACTTTGGTGACTTTTCTTGTTTCTTCATACTTTACATAGAAGATGCTGGAAATGTTAGTTTTCTGTACTAGTCATGTGTTCTTGTCCTTCCTCTTAGTGCTGTGAGACAATTTTCCCTGATCAATAAAGTCGATCTCACCTTGTGCCCCTCTCACACCCGTCAACCTTCCCTCCAGCTCCCTGAGTCCAGATGAAAATCATCCAGACGCCGCTTTCCAGAGGGAAGGCTTTGGACGCCAGAGCATGTCAGAGAAGCGCACCAAGCAGTTTGGAGACGCAACTCAGCTCGAGATCATCAAGACACGCAAGTCCAAGAGCATGGATCTAGGTACAACTTTCAAAACCTTAGTGTTCCTTCCATAATTTGAGATGCTCATTAGATTTCAGGGAGATAAGACATGTTGACAAGACTGAAGGTAGAGTGTGAAAACCTCCACCTGCTTTCAGTCACTGGGATTATCCTAAGGTTTCACATTATTAGTTAGTTGGCTTGTTCGTTATTTATATTTTTCTATCATGTTCATGCCATGTGGGAGTTACCATACCAGTTTAGGAAAAGCTGTAATAGTGAAATTAGATTATTATTAAAGCCACAAAATATTGGATTTGGCGCTAAACAACAGGCACAGTCCATTATTTAAGGTAGTTCACATCACACATTTAATGAATATGGTTCTATATTGACCATGGACAATATTTTGGTAAGATATTATATCATAAAGGTAATTTTGTCCTTCCTTAGCCTGCCAGTGACATCTGTGGCACATTTCCTTCCTTCCTGTCTGTTCAGCAATTTTTAAGAAACAGTTTAAGGTTAAGCATTTAGTACAGTACTTTTTCTCCACAGCCCCATATTGTTGTTGTGAATATAAAATGAATCATGGCCACTTACATACATGCATACATACCCATAACATACAGTCTTTCCTGGGGGATTTACACATACAAGCCCAGGATCACAAAGTTTCCAAGCTGAGTGGTAAACGTCCCTTTTTTTTCTCCCTCCAACAAACGTAGAATACAAGATGTGTTGGGTTAACTGCATTAGGAAAATTAAGAATTTAAGGTTTGTGTTCATATTTCTATGGAGTCAATTGATAAACCCAGTGCACCTCAGCTACTTTAAACTCCGTAAAACCTTAAGAAAATCAGATTTCATGGAGCTTTGAGCACATAGCCCTGCACGCTCCCTATGTTTCAGACACGTTCCTTATATTTAAATGTATTCCACCCTCTTGCCTCTTTGTATGAAAACAGACTCTTTGCATCTCTCGCCAAAGTCAAGAACTTCACTGTGTTGATTCACCTTGAAATGGCTTCGAAAAGTCGCTGATTGCTTTGGCTGCAGCCGACTCTCTGCTCACACTCTCTATAATCATATCTAATCTTCCCGACCAGATTGCCGCTCTGTGCCGTGTTGATATCACAACAAGTCTGATTGCTATCCTCAAACCCTCTTTTCATTTCCCTTCTCCCCCACTCCGCCTCCTTGTCTCGCATGACGTCCGATCCTAATTGAGATGAAGCCTTTTGTGATGTTTGCAGCGCTACCTGGATGTTGCATGTGGAATGTCATGAGCACTAACTGAACCCCAAATGTTTGTATCCCTCCCCTCTTTCCTTCCCCTTCCTTTAACAGTAGCCGACGAGATTAACCTCACCCCTCGTCCCGAGACCAACACAGGTAAGGGCCGGTACACTGAAAGGTAGAATTGAAAACCATCTCCAGCATAACCACCATTTGTTCTCAAGGTGCATATCCATATCTATAGTCCTGGGACTGAGGGATATACGTGGCATATGACTTTAAGTTCAATTAAAAGCCGCCAGGAGAGCTGATTTATCCAGGATGTATTGTTGTTTTATAACGCTATACCACATGATATTTTACTATCCAATCACATTTAGCACAGTATTTGCTGACTTGTGCACTGTAAATCCTCAAATAAAACTGGTGTTGTAAAAACAGAGAACAATGTTCAGAGCAAGGTTGGAAGAATTGAAGTTTCCTCTACTAGAATTTGATAATGTACTGATCCACAGCACTCAGTCCAACGAGAGAATCGTGTCAAACTCACCACTCTGCTGCTCTGAGAAATACTGTTTTTATTCATAATTTTTTTCCCAGTTGTTTTTTTCAACGCTTTCCTGCAGATGTTTCAAATTAAAAGCCTAGTAAGAAAATGCGAAGACACCGACACATCGCCCTATGAGCTTCTGAACAGCTTTGTCATTTTATATACCTGTGCAGGAAGAGTAGCGTTTCATTGACCGTAACTTAACAGTGATCGCACGAAAAGCAAAGTAGCACCATTTGGAATGAATTAGTGCGCGAGAACAGAAGTTTATGTCACAAAGAGAAATTCTGTGCCGCAAAGTGGAAGGTATGACAGGAATAAGTTGTTGTACTGATGGAATATTTTGCTGTGGAAATAAAAGGAGCAGATCATAAAAAAAGGGAATGCCTTTTACCAGATTTTCAGACTGGCTAATGCTCCGACAAAGGTTATTGTTCCCTTGTCAAGTGTTACACTTTTGTGAATAAACATGACATTTGCCATTGATTTAGTCTAGGCAAAACATTCCTCTGTTTTTAACTTATTAATGCTTTGCCTTCAGCAACCTTTCTAATTAATAAAAAGTGCAAGACATCTATTTTACATGTAGATGTAGGAAACACAATTTTACTTCATCAGTGTAGGCACTCAGTTTTTGTGTTCACAGCGTTAAAGCCAATTTATACCCCTTCGTCCCAGGTCCTTCATACCATCTCAGATCCACCTTTGCAGTCCTTCATTTTCTCTTTGTATTATAAGAAATAAACAGGATTGTTTGTATTTGATGGCACATTATACTCTGGGAAACACTTGTAGTAGCTGCAGACTTGTGCCAGAATTAGAAGAGGTTTCTGTCCCAAGAATTGTAAATGAACTGCAACCTGTCACTGTGGCTTTGCAGAAAATCGATCCATAACTGGTACAGGACAAGACACAAATTGTACAGGAACAGCTATGGCAGACATACCATTACACATATTGATCTACAAATAGCATTTCAGTGGCTAACGTGCAGATTATGTTTCAGAAAGTTTATCTAACGCTCGACTCTTTATGCATTTATGTAGTGTTCCCTGTGTTTGGTGTTTTGCGAACTTGACAAGACAAATTTGTCAGTCTCCAGAGGAAAGACTTGCAGTCCTCGCCACAGTTTGAGGTCGCAGCTGAACATGGTTGTGAAAGCAGTTGGGTGACTACAGATTTGATTTTCTCCCTTTTGCCTCAGATGCAGCTGTAGCACTAATTGTTTTGCAGAAAGAGCACTCTGTCCTTGGTTAAGGCAGCGGGCTGACAGGGAGTCATCCGTCATTGTCATGTCTTGTGTATTTTCTCTGTCGCCAAGACTGAATAGAAGGCCTGCCTTCTATATCAGGGACTTGGACAAAAGGACAGATCCCGCTGAAGAAAGACGTGTAGAGAAGGAGAAGCACAAAGATGAGAGTGTAAGAAGGAAGCTGTCTTGGTGCACTTTACAGTAACCTGTAGATGTGGCATTAGCTTTGACTCAATAACATGTGAAAAGGTGTGAAAAGATGGAAAGAGGTCTTGTAACTGATGTGAGAGCACTTGTTTCTGGTGATAATCAAGTTGCCTTCACTGCAAATGAAAGATTGTTCTTTAGTGTTTTTACAGTGATCTGCCTTTCCACTGAAATGATCTCAGGGTAATCAAATACCCATTCAGATTCCCTAATGCTGTGGGCTAATAGATTTCACCTTGTCTTTTAAGTGTCAGGGGTTTATTTTCACTTCGGGGGGCCCCTGGTGTCACTTTACCAACTTTAAAAAAAATCTTTACTCTTCAGTAAGTATAAACGATCCATGGTCCGTTTACCAAAGCCAAAACACAACCGTCCTGCTGAAACCGAAGACTGTGACAGCTCTGAGAGACGGGATATATAGTAGCCCTCGTCTCCTGAGCTGTGATCGGCTGAGGAGTTTATTGACACAGGCCGCCGCCACATGTTAGACGAGGACACTTCAGTGATGGAGGACAGCGCAGGATTGTTGCGGTTCAGTGTCCAGAACTTCATGCAGACTTTCTCGAACTTTTTTGATACATCATAAATCCCCGTGAGAAGGCGTCCTGTGGGTGATCCCCTCAAAGTTCACATTACGAGTCCGTTTATATTCTTTTTGGGAAGTAGAGAATATTTCCTGGGGTTTTATTATTTGCTGTTCCTGAAACGGGATTCAGTGTTATCGTGTTGTGGGTTAGTGTTGCTCAGTGGGTGTGAAGTGGCTCTTAAAAGTGTCAAGCAGCAATATAGTGGCACATGAGATTGACCTCCAATCAATGATCATCATTATACTGACCAATAGACATTTTTAGACAAACAAGATTCTCTCATGTGGATGCCATTTTCCAAGAACTAGCCCAGTATAGTAATAAAAACCAGCTGACTGGAAAGGTGTGACGATTTGATTTGGAAGACAGTGGATCAACCTGTTGTTTAACTTACCAACTACCTTTTCATTTGGTAGTGTTTATGTGACTTTTGCAGACACCAAATACTCCATTTTGGACAACCAACTTGAGTTAGCATGCTCTGTCACTACACAGTGAACAACAGATAACAGGAGCAAAGAAATCAAAAGATAGGTGATCTGCTTTATGCAGACTGAATCAATAACCCTGCTTTTGCCAGTTCCAGGTGAGTCTGGTGTCAACGCCAATCTGACCTCTCCTTGTTCCAGCTGCTACACAGTAGCTCTGTATTTGTTATTGTAAGCCTGTCACTGCTGAACTTGGTGGGATCATGTTTATCTGCAGATAAGTAGGAGTGCCACTCTGTCCAAACACACTGACACAGATTATTCAGAACTGACTGACTGGTTGCCAGATTTGTAGTAATCCATTTAGCTGTCTTTTTAAATTTCTGTCAGACGCTGTATGTGAGGTGTGTTGCCAGACCTGATTATTGCAATTTAGCATGTTTTATCTAAACAAAAAAGACAAAAGATGAGCACACTGTTTCACATTTCAGTGGTTCACAAAAATGTCTATTTAAGAAGAAAAAAATGCCATTTGTCAGATCTCCAACACAGTGTAAATTATCCTTTTTTTTTTTCTTTTTTCTTTTTAAGTCTGCTGTTGAAGTGTGACTGTAGAGAATGGCGCTGGGCAAAGCCTTTAAATAAAGTGGGTGTGCGGCGTGAAAAGCCTATCTGCCCAGCTCTCAGTGAGACGTTAAGGGAACAGGACAGACTGATGAGAATGAATGGGAGGCCGCCAACCCACTAGCTTGTTCACTCTGCATGTATTCAATTTTCCATTTCTGTTTTTTCTCTGCTCTGTCTTCCTTCTTTTTGCGGTCAGTCTCACTGTAAACAAGAAGCTCGGCTTCTTCAATAGTTTTTGCTTGTTTCCAGACTAGCTATTTGAAATTATTCGACATCCCTGGCAGGTCATTTGAATAAATTTCAATATATTTTACCCTAATTGACTGTGTGGGCATTTTACTTTGATTTAAAGAAAGCCAAGTGCTTGATGCTTTAAATAATTATTGAAATCACAAAAACCAGCCAGTACAGTAAACATAATGTGACCAAACACACTACCTTTTGCTCTGGCTGATGAATCAAATCTATAAAAACATCACAAATATATAGTTTCTTTTTTTACTAGTTACTATTACTATAATATATATCTTCAATTTCAGTTTCGTCCTTTCCTTTGGTCTTTCCTTTCACCTTCCTTTCTCACCCCTCCTTTCACTCCAAACTGTGTGCTATTCTTCTCCTCCTCCCTCGCTCCTTCCTTTCTGTCTCTTTCTCTTTGATTCTCTCTCCGCCCTCATGGCACCCCATGTTAATCTGTCAGGCCTTGTGTATTTTGCAGCCTTCTGCTACAGTAGTTCCAAAGTGACACCACCCAGGGGATTAGGACTCTTCCATTTACCGCCATACCTCCTCACCTTATCTTACATTTATTTGGCACTGTACACATTCTCAGCCTGTGAAAGGTGCCATATGGGAACAAACATTATGCCCGCACCACTGTTCAAATAATCTTAGTTTAATTAAACTGTCATGTTTCTCCTATTTTGCTGATGGTTATTTTCATTCAGAGTCACCTCTTGTAATGAAATTTGTACACACACAAATACAATTACACACAGTCAATCAGTTTCCTTCTTGGTGAAACAAACATTAACCAACTTTAAAATATGGTGTGTTGTTGCATAGCATGATGGCACACAGCATGATGTTGATTTTGTAGATTATGGTCCTTTAAAGTAAAATAGACGCAGGGTGTTCCTTAGCGCGTGGCTACCTTTTGATAGATAAGTCGCTACCACAGAGATCTGTCGGGCGTAGCAATGTGTATCCTCCCCAGCTCCAGCCTCTCATCCAAATACGGTCACAAGATGGCGACGGCCAAGATGCCAACTCTAGGCTTCATGAAGAAAGAAAGAGAGATACAAAGTATCTCTGAAATGGTGGTTGCATTTAAGTAACATTTCTGCAGAACGAAGCAAAAATACGAAAACAAAAAGAAATTAGGGAACGCAGCCTGATGAAGAGGTTTGTCAGCTTCGGTGTTGTTGTCATCACACTTCCTCCGTGCGCTAATGACATACAGTGGACGTTCACCTTGAGAGTCCTGGTGAGGCTGGCTGGAGCAAATCCCAGAATCCACCATAAACTAAAATTACTCAGCAGTGGAGTCTCTGAGGTCATACTTGGACAGCTTTAGTAGTTGGTCATTTGGAATTGGCAGGAAGTTGCCTGTTGTGAAAAATGTGTCACATTGCTTAGTCAGAAAAAAAATCATCTTCTCCATCCATCGTCCTTAAATCCTCCTGTAAAGTCATGTTGTAACATAACTCATTATAATGCTGCTGCTCTTGCGCTACATCATCCTTGATCCTTGAGAATGTATCAACATAGCTTTAATTACAACCAAAGCCAATGTTACACATTGATTCCGGACAGATACGATGATGAAACCTGTTATGTAAAGGTAAGACTAAGATATGCTGTTGGGGGACTTTGACGGGGCCATCATTGTTCATTAATTTTTCTACATTACATCCATCTGTATCCTCCCTCAGGTTCTTCCACAAAAGATGTGGGACCATCACTAGGCTTAAAGAAGTCCAGCTCTCTCGAGAGCCTCCAGACGGCTGTTGCCGAGGTAACCCTCAATGGGGACCTCCCCTTCCACAGGCCGCGACCCGTATAATCAGGGGGCGGGGCTGCAACGAGAGCTTCAGAGCAGCCATCGACAAATCCTACGACCGACCAGCTGCAACGGAAGAAGATGATGAGGGCATGGAGACATGTAAGATATCCCCCTTTGCATATCGGCCACAGTTAACAAGACCGCCGAAGTATCGTACCCATCAGCAGTTGGGAGGCCTGTCACCGTCCTTCAGCAAGGAACTTCAGTCACTATATAACTTCTTGAACATGTCTGAAATATGAAACTGTGCAATGATGACTTGAGTGACATTGCATTAGGGTTTATAGATGACACTAACACAACAACGGCAATCAATAAAAGGACTGATATTGCAAATGATAATGTGACAGCCACTAAAACCTGGATGTGTCTACCATACTGATGCACGGGAGTGACAGCATTCTGACTAATGCTTAATATCTGGCAGCCGATTTTTCTCTGCTTGTGGCAATGGCACATGGCTGTCTCAGGATATAACTATCTGCTGCATTACGTGTCCTCACACTGTCAATATGAGGCATCTTAAAGGGATGAGTCAGGAGCATGGGTAAGGTTCTGTGATAGACAGAATCTTCTTGTCTGGAAATTGGTCGCACATTAAGCTGCCTTCCTCCAGAGTCATTGCATTAGACCACACAATATATTCCAAGTCTCTGTATCTAGGTTTTTTTTTTTTAATGCTTCCTTTTAAGGGCAAAATTTTTGATTAGCTTGATCTAAAGCTTTTATAAATGCGGAAAACAAAATGTAGAGTCATCATTTTCATGGGTATAATTTCCAAAGCCAACATGTACACCCATTTATTTGTTGCACGCGATAGGTAGCAATTATGTAGTAATGCGTATATGAGATGACAAAATACCCACACAATAGTGTCTGATTTCTTGTTCCTTTTTATGTGGACATGACTTCAAATGTTTCAAACACAGATGTCAAGTCCTCATACGATTAAATTAGAATAGGGAATGAAACATCAGTGTGCTGGTTTCCTTAATCTTACATACCGCAAAAGAAACCATTTTCAGAGTTTGATTGTCTGGTACATATCAGGTTTAGAGCCCAAATAACCTTATGTTTTTTTAATCTGAAGTTGATCTCATATCTTCTTAGAGTGCCGTGCCATCAAGAGTAATTAATGTATTCCTTTTCATAATTTTAAGAGTCAGTCTCTAATGGTCTCTAATGATTACTATTTCATTGTAGAACAGAGCTCTTCAATCACTTGTAATATGTAATTAAATTGCATTAGGCTTCTTTTGGCACCTATGAGACATTTCACATTTATGAGAGTTTTCATCCACACATTTTCATTTATTAGGCTTATTGAGTATGTGTTACACTTCTACTTGAAATTACCTGGGTTTGGTTAATAGGTTGAAAAGAAGATGTTTTACATTCTCCGCCATGTTTCTTCCTCTGTCCCTTCTTTGATGTCTTTCCATCTCTCCAGTGGAGGAGGACACAGAGGAGAGTTCACGATCAGGGAGAGATTCTGTGTCCACTGTGGCCGACCAGACCCCGCTGTCCGGCTCTGAAAAACCCCTGGTCAACGGCACTAATCGCACCAAAGAGGAGAAGAAGAAAGACAAAGACAAGGGAGGGAAGGAGAAGAAGCCAGATGGAGGGAAGGAGAAAGACAAGGGAAAAGCCAAGAAGGGCATGCTGAAAGGACTCGGGGACATGTTCAGGTAAGACTGTAAAAATAGTTGTGTGGAAATTATTCTTGGTTTTTACTGAACCAGCCTGTTACAAAGCAGCAAAACAAGTACATAAGTCACTTTTAGTTATATGTTTTAAGGTATTTCCTTGTGTTTAATGGCAAGATTTTATTTAGGCTTTTGAAATGTATGCCAAAACTCCAGTCTTTTGCAGTAGAACAATCAGCAAGTCTCTTCAGTGTCTGCCTCAAGGGCATTTTGGTTGTACTTTGTGCTTTATTGAATATTCTTAATTGTTCACTTTCTGTACCTTTCTCTATAGTTTGGAAACTTACGTACACAATCTACTAGAAACTATATATATTTGGTATGCATGTTATATGGACAACCTGTAATATTTTTTTATTCCTCTTATGCACTTACTCAAACATCTTATTAGTCTGTATAGTCTATATATTTCCCCCCTTTCTCTCTCCCCATTACAGTTGTTGTCCACATTGTTTGGTCAGTTGGGAAGCCTCCAGTAATATATCTGTATATCATATTAGCCAAAGTGGCGGTGACAGGGAAGGGAAAACAGTGACTCTAGTGTGAGAGAGGAAGGTAATGAGGTCCACAGAGATGGAGGGAAAAGGAAAGATGGAAGAAAGGGAGGTGCAGTTGGTTGCAGTGGGTAGTGAAGGAAAAACAAAGGAATGTTGTTAGAGACAGAAACTTAACGACAGAGACTGATTGAAGTCTAATAATTGTAATTTCCCTTTTAAAGCAAAGAGATAGATCAAGTGAGCTGTAAAATGCATGTGAATTATACTTATTTTAAACAAATGCCATTTGAGTATAAATGTTTATTCTTGAAATTGCAGTTTGGCAAATAATCTATGCTCAACATCCACTTGCTAGCTTTATCTGGAGCTTTCAGCTCCTTCTCACAGTCTTCATCAGCAGAGCATTATCTCAGCTGTCATTGAGATGCCTCAGGCGATTAGGTCATATATTGAAAAGGTCACCTGATGACAACTGAAAGCGCTAGAAAAAGCTAGTAAGTGCACCTTAAATCAAGATTATTTAACTGATAACTAATGTCATATTTGTTGCCAATTGAATGGAAAAAACACCCACAGACAGAATTGGATGTTACTAAGATTTTATAGCATCACATCTTCTTCAGGCAATACTTAGCCCAGGGTGAGCCTACTATTACATCAACATGTATAAACTAAATCTAAAAAATAAACTCTCAGTATCACTA